GACTGCGAGATGATGCTCTCCCTAGATTTCTTCTCTAGTGGCGAATTCAGTTCTAATTTTATTTTATTAAATTTGTTACCTTGTTTAATTACATTGTTCCGCCTAATATTAAATTCAAAAATCCTAAGTTGCAGATATTACTCAAATAGTGTAATATGCCTTTGTCATTGTTACGTGTGTGGATCAACCATAATCTTACAGCCTTTCCCTGACTTGAGTAACTTGAAGGCCTGTAAAATAACAGCCATAGTTAGTAAATGAAAATAATTATGACACAGCCTCCTCATCAGCCTCTCCGTTGCAGGCCTCCTCCCATTTTTTTGGCAGTTGGTAAGTACGACAGTCAAGTCAGTCCTTCCACTAGTCCGTCAACCTATTAATTCTTCCGTCCGACGTCCGTTCCCAGATCCGTCCGTCTGTCCGTCCGTCCGTCCATCAGTCAGTCAGTCAGTCAATGCATCCGTCTGTTCCCCTGTCTGTCCGTCCGTCCGTCCGTTCGTCAGTCAGTCAGCCAGTCAGTCCGTCAGTCAGTCGTTCGGTCAGTCGACAGTTAATATTTGATAAAAACTACAATTGGTATTAAAACTGAAGTATAACACCACCTTAGCGTTAACTACAAATACGGCATACTTTGCATTGGCTTTAAAATCACATGAAGTCACACCAAGCTGGCCTAGCAGAGATTTGCGCCAAAAAACTCGATCATACAACCCGTTTACCATAAAGTGCGTTTAGTTCACCTGTTCAAATTGGCTCATTGGAATTTCATGAGTGATCACAGGAGTAACATCAACTCTGCAAGGAAATAAGATTTCGTCACCACAAGTACCCTTCTGATACCACTGTACTCACAGCAACTGTGACTAGTAATCATTCCTTCGGCTCATAACGCCATAACGTCAGTGCACGCTGCAAAATGGTCACTTTCCATTAGTGAATGATGTTTGTCAACATCTCCCTATTATTTTAGTGTTTATCGCATAATGGAACATCTCGGTCACGCGGCCTACAACTCCGTTCTTTACACATCGAAAACTTTGAAAAGATACCTACTTGTTGTTAAATAATAACTCCTCTGACTTTTCCCAAGTGCTGTAAATCTTTCTGCCATGAATGGTCTTTATTGTTAAAGACCTGAACAAAATATCTTGAAGAAAGTTCTCTACATGAAGGGGTTGCTGAAAAGCAAATGAAAAATTACAATGAACATCTGGATTATAGGTTCATTACAAGCTTTGGTTTATGTGTGTATTTGTTTAATAGTGTGACTGTCGTCCAAATTTAGTGTATTCTTCTGAGTCCTTAGAACATATTAATAGCACTAGTCCCTTCGCATGAGGGATTAGTCACCTGGCTCATAAAACGGCACTTTTCCCAGATCACCGCTCTAGGTCAAACGCTCACCGTCAAAGACACAAGAGTAAAGAAAACGTTTTCTGAGTACCTTAAGAAGTCCTACCAGGACGACCTTTCCCCCTTTTCTGCAAAGAAACGTACAATGTGCAATGTTTTCAACAAACCTTATGTTATCTTCAGAGCTGCACACTGACTGACTCAGAGTCAAAACCAGTTGAATTGTGCAATGTTAAGTGACCAATAACTGATAGAGCTGGCTAGCGCAAGACTTTCTTTTTTTACTACAACCTCTCAGGGGCTGTGTAATGAAAGGCTCTATAAAGTTAAAAATCAACTCATCGCATACTTCCCCATTCTCGAAATGTTACTAAAATGGTACAAATACTGGACATAGCGCAACAAAACCGCATGTGTGGGATCAATGGCATTGCATTTTGTTAATGGATAAAGAATACTGTTAATGTTATATTCACCTTAGTAAAGNTTGCTAATGAAATGTAACCAGCAACTCTGAATAACAAAACATAACACCATGTCTATAAAGTTAAAACCTTGCAGGGTTTGCGAAGTTCACTGTTAATATTAATTTAATGACATCATCATCTTATTGCTCTCTTACCATGCAAACACTGATAGCATTTTCCACAGTAGAAGTGATTCTCACAACAGACTCGTTGACCAACTGAAAATTCATCTCCACAACCTGGGCCGACCTGCACAACCTAATGATATGATCTATTAATCTGCTGGTCAAAATTTAATCAAAGAGTAATTTAGCAATAAAAGTATAATATTACAAAATTAGTGTTACCTCTCCCACACACTCATGACCAGGAATGAAAGGTAAGGTTGCTATTGTCCTTGCAGCTACAGAAAAAAAGTAAAAAAGTGAGTACATAACAGAAGGACCTGAAGATTGGTATCATCTTACCTCATCATATGAAGAGTGCAATTGTAAAAAATGAAACTGTTCCCATATTGGTGTCCAGCTAGAATAAGCTAACTTCCTTGTTTCTTTCTTTTTTGACTTGGATTTTTTCATCCTTGGAGCTTTTCATCTCTACATAGATCTGCAGCAGAACATCTCTCTACTGAGTTGTCTTTTTTGATCCTTTTTGGCAGAAATGTAGCAGGTCTCGCAAGCTGCTATTATTTTATTATTGCAGCAGCTGTTATTGTTTCAGGGCTTTGTTTCTGTTTTTTGTTCTATTGTTCCCTTAAAGCATAGTTACTAACTATGCTTAAAGGATATGGTGCGACTCATGTGAGACATTATAAGAGCTGCTGCATGCTCATTTTGGAGCAAGTCTTCTCCACCCACCACTCCACCCCCTCCCTGCCCCAAACATGGATGGAAGGTCACCACGCAGTATCGTAACACCTCGTGATAGACTGTGCATTCAGGTTCATTCACAGCATGCATGCCATGTACGAACTGTTGTCATGTATAGCTACAATACTATCGAAACATTCAATGTATACTGTACTTAGGCATGGGGATTTGCATAACCGTTACATGAGTCACACCAAGACAGACGCAGCCTAAAACACCTATAAGCTGCTAAAAACTGTAGTATGGGTACCAGCTGATGAGGTAACATAACCTTACAATAATATTGGTATTATTAGCCTCACATCATGCGCGATGTCGATCGAACGTGTTGTGCCTTACCTTCATTCCATTGATAGAGAACGGTATCTGAGCCACATATAGAAACTTTAAGGACTTTCAAAAGCAAGTCTCCTGTGTTAGGTTGTGGCACAGGGATGTCTTTGTAAATATAAGACGATTTCTCCTCTTCTTTGATCAACACTTTCATGCACTCCGGCAAAGTCGACATTTTTACCGTTTTCGATGGTAGCCTGGTGACTAGAATGTGCATTGAGGCGAAGCAATCGGGGTGGGGAGAGGGGAAAAAGAAGATGTGAGCAAAAATGTTTGATAAGTTAGACTCAACATTCTACGATACCACAACAATGAAATTTTTATATAAACTAAATCTCTCTTGACGTCTCGACAATTAAATAAGTTGCTTTATTTTATTGTCACAAGTAAGGAAAGTGCAATCCTTTTACCCTACCCTGGCAGATAAAACAATTGTTCGCAGGCTCTCAAAATGGCGGAGGAGTTAGAACTGATTGAAATTGGTTTCGAAGAAAGTCTAGAAGAAATTAACAACTGGCTTCGAAATGAAGGATACGAGAAATACAAAGAAGCCAGACACCTGTCAGAGGAAGAATCGCGCGAGGACCCTGAAACAGACCCATTTAAGTCGAAGTACAGCGCCAGGGTTATCTTGTCAGATTTGAAAGCTAGACTGGCGTCATTTCAAGACGATGACATTGCAAGTGAAAAAGTAAAGATCTTAACAGCTGCCCTTGATTACCAGATTGGACAAAACTACATTGAAACTGAGGAGCTAAGCACGGGTGAGGAGCACATTGAACGGTGTATTAGAGCTCTCGAGGAACATCGGTTGGATAAAAGATGTTGTTCCATTTGCTTGCATGCTTTGAACGAGCTCGGAATTTTGTGGTCTAAAAGAGGTGATTCTGAAAAAGCTTTGGGATTCCTGCAGGATGCAGAGAAGTTGTATCATAGTTATACTAAGGAAGAAGAATGCGGCTCACCTTACGAAATCCATGAGTAAGTAAAGAACAATAAACAAGTTACATGTTATTGTACTAATAGCTGATAGTTAACATATTAAGTTACCATAAGTTACAGATAAGAGGATCTTTATGATCTGTAAGTGTGATGTCAAAGTCCAAACGAAATATTAAATAGTTTTCATTTTTTTTTATTTACAGTAAACAGATTTTCTTCTCCCCTCTGGACTGGATGCTAGTCCATCTAGGTTTACCCCCAACATTAAATTCCTGGGTATCCATTTATACCCCTGGGTATAGAGAGGCAAAGGGAGAGTAAAGTGTCATGCCCAATAATTGGGCATATACAACAAAATGACCCCTGCAAAGGCTTGATAGGTCACAAGCAGCCCCTCTTTTCTTTTAGTCCATCAAACGTCATACAAAAGATGACACTTGCACATGAGGGCAAGAAAACATTAACTCACCATTGCACATGCAGCCATTTTTCCTCTTGTGTGCACTTTCTTTTTTATCTTGCTCTATGGCTTAAGAGAAATCAGCGGCTGCTCTTAGTCTAAGGGCTTGAACCCCAAACTGCTCAATCTAGAGTTTCAGTACACAAGCCATTAGACTACTATCTTTGGCACTGTTCTAGAAATGCAGGCAGTGCATTTTAGACTTACTTCAGCTTTCGGGCCAAACAACAGGACACGTCCCACAACAGTCACATTTGTCTGTTAGGTATATGTAGCACATCACATTCAAAAATCAAACTGCATTGATTGAAACTGAAAAGAGAATTTTATCTTTTCTTGTCACTGTAGACTTTTCCACCCAAAAGACAACTTCCATTCAGATCATGAGAGAGAACGAGCATTCAGTGCAACCTTCACACATACACTGTATTACTTAGCACAAGTCAATGCAGCCTTGGGGCATTCTGAAACAGGAGCCATGTACTGCCATACGACTCTACGTCGTCAACTGGAGACAGAACAGTATGACCCAGTAGACTGGGCTGTCAACTGTGCCACATTGTCGCAGTACTACATTACACAAGGAAACTACATACTTGCACGACATTGCCTGGGTATGTATTTGTTTAGCTTTTGTAAGCTGTTATTCACTCATACTCTCGTGAATAAGTTTATTTTAAGGTAGGGCTTGTCCAAATGCTAGTCTGTTGACAGGCCACTCTTGGTGGATTCAAAGATCTGGTTTTCTTTTTTTATATATTTCATTGGTGTATTCATTAACATTTTGGAGGTTTTCAACCTCCTCAGTGCATAGAATGCTTTTTTTCCTCACAGTAAAGCATCTCAAATTGTACTAAAATTCAGAATCTTATACAATCAACAATACAGTAGATCTTATAATTGCTGCTTTGATTTATGCAGAATGATTATATTTATTGTTGTTTTGCACAGCATGTTCCAGTCGTGTTTTCTCTGGAGCTGAAGAAACTAATCCTGTTGAGGCTGTGTCTGAGGATGACAGCCAGGAAGAACGTGAGAGAAAGGAAAGGATTCCTCAAAGGAAGGCTGACATATCCCGCTGCTGGAGTAAATATTGTATGGATGTGTTGAGGGCATCAAGGGATAAATGTGTTCAAGAATTGACAAGCACTGAACAAAACGATGAAGATCATGACACAGAGAAAGGTCAGAGGAGAATTTTTATGACGCTCAGGTCAATGATTTTAAGATCACAGTGTTAGTCCTGTAAAATGTCCTTGCCATATCCATATTCT